AACAAAAAACAAACATAAAACTGACTCTGCATAGAGGATTTATATTTTGGAGGGCTTGTATTATCCAGATTATTGCATTCATACAGTTGTAAGCCCCTTGCTTAACCAGGCTTGTATAAATGGGACCAGTTCCTTGATCTGTTTGAAAAAGAATTTTTCAGCCTGTCACCAAGAGCCAAATCCTTCTTTTTTGCTCTTCTGCTTCTAAAGATATTTATAATTTGTTTATGATTTATTGAAATTTGCCTGGCTATGGGAGAACTGCATCTTTTAAGTTTCAGCTCAGTTAACTCTTTGCTGCCTGCTCCATTCCCTTTAGGAAACTTTGTCTTCTTAAAAGATATTTCCATGAGCTCACATACTCATCTGAAGAATGTAAAATAACATGCTTAGTGCTATACACAATGCATTCTCCCATTTTCTTTATTAAGATACTTAATGGACACAATGGTTGATTGTGGGTGTATAAAGATGGCCACAAATCCCTTCATATACATTCACTTCTGCTTGATAGCTTTGTTGGTGAACTTTGGTTAAAATTGTGGTGATAAAAAACTCAAAAATTAATGGTGCTAAAATATATTTTCTAATGAAACTGATTTTTTTTTTTTTTTGCAATACAGTTAATATCTAAAAAGAGCGTACCATGATTATTTTAGCTATTTACTTCCGGCAGATAATCTTTCTAAATACACATAAACCATCAGAAAATTTAGTATATGCTAGTTCCTCACTTCCATGCTTTATCTCCTTTAAAGATTAGCCTCTTAGAGGCATATAGGAGTGGATTATGTCTTTTTTTTTTTTTTTTAATGAACACTTCTACCCACTTAAAAAGCTCCTTTCTTCTGTCTCAATTTTTCCCTTTATCGTTTCTTGCTCTTTCTCAAGGTGCTTTCTTTCTTACTTTAACTTCCTGATGTGACTCTCTGTCATTAGTCTTTATTTCATTTTTTCTGGTGTGGAAGATTGTTAACAACAGCACTAGCAGTGGGCTGGGTGTGGTGGCTCATGCCTGTAATCCCAGCACTTTAGGACACTAAGGCAGGAGGATCACTTAAGCCCAGGAGTTTGAGGCCAGCCTAGACAACACAGTGAGACTCCATCTCTACAAAAAATAAAAAATTAGCCTGGTGAGTACCAGTGATCCCAGCTGCCCAGGAGACTGAGGTGGGAGGATCGTTTGAGTCCAGGTGGTTCAGGCTGGAGTGAGCCATGATCATGCCACTGGACTCCAGCTGGGGCAACAGAGCAAGACTGTTTCTGTACAGTCTCAATGAAATAAAATAAAATAAAATAAAATAAAATAAAATAGTATTTGTAGCAATGCTGAGTCCTGGGTCAGGATGCTGGCTAGGCTAGCACTAGTAGGGAGGAGAGATGAGAGTGATTGTACAGCTTGGCTGGTTTATTGTTTTTGAGTTACATTAATGGGAGGCATCAAGGAAACAGAACTTATTTTATTCAGTTTAATATGCCTTCATAAAGGGCATCCTAATTTTACATGACATGGGAGAAAGCATAGCTCTCTGATCCTTTCCCAGTGGGCAATGAAATAGAAATGTACAAACATTTGAGAGACACGGATTTGTTACTACGGGGCCTGTTTGAGTTACAGGGCATTATGGTAGTTTCAGTATCACTTACGATACAGTAGCAGATGAACACTGATTTCTTGTGATTATGATGATACTGGGTTCTTTTGCTCTTGTAACAAATTATCCCAAATTAGTGGTTTAAAACAACACAAACTTATTAATTACAGTTCTGATGGTCAGAGGTCCTAAAATCAAGGTGTTGACAGTGAGTGTGTTCCTTCTGCAGGCTCTAGGGGAAAACTTGTTTCTTGTCTTTTGCAACTTCTGGAAGCTGCTTACATTCCTTGATTTGTGACCCTCTTCCATCTAGTAAGTCAGTATTCACATCGCTTTCACCTCTGCTTTTGTTGTTACCTCGCCTCTCACTCTGAGACCCTACCTTCCCCTTAGGAGCCTTGTGCTACACTGGGCCCACACACGTAATTGAAGAAAATCTCCCCAGCTGAAGATCCTTAACTGAATCGTATCTGCAAATCTGTTTTAGCATGCAAGGTAACACATTCACTGTTTTGGAGATTAGGACATGGACAACTTTCGGTGTCCCTTATTCTTCCCACTGCATACCTGTCCTATAGCCAGCTGTTTGTGTTTTATTCTTAATACTATTGATATTGGTCAGGCAAATTGGAGTCAGCTGGACTATAGCATTTTTTAGTACTATTTTTACCTTTTTTGAAGCCTCCACATGGGAACCAAAATAACAACTGTGCTTTGATGAATCTACAGAACAACATGCGTTCAAACCCTCAGAGCTCTGTTGATCCACATGTTCTCTGTGCTTGATGCAGAGAATCTACTGGGTTTTGAAATCTTAGCGCTAATGGCTGGTACACTTCAGAGGCATTGTGCCCACTAAAGACATAAAGCAAATCTAATCCTCTGGATAAAGATCTTAAAGCCACAAAATTCCAACTCTGTCTCTTTACTAAGATCGAATAGTGCTGAGGGCTTGCAAGAGTTGTTAATGTATCTTCTCATGGCCAATTAACACAAAGCATGCTGTAGGAACGTTGCATCATCCAAATTAAATGTGTAATCTACTGTAGGCATCAGTCAAGACAGAAAAAACGGCTTTTCTACTGAAATTTTAAGAGTGGCATGTTGTCCAAAAGAAAAAGCTCTTTATTCTTGTTGTCTCTGTACTTTAGAGAAGCTGATGCTGAGAGTTTGAGAGGGAGAATGAGCAATGAGGCTGGTGAGATGGTAGACAAGGGTGTGTGTTGTGGGGGTTGAAAGACAAGATCTTTGTCCTAAGGACAACCGGAAGTATTGAAGGACTCTAAATAGATGAGGGGAGGGGGGCAAGGGAGAAGTCAGGGCCGACTACTGGGTATTTTGGCTTGAGGTGAATGGATGGATGGCAACTCCATTGGCTGAGATGGGAAACAGAGGATGCAGAATAGAATTTGGAGGTAAGCTGCAGGTTGTTGGAAATGAGACTGGGACATCCAAACGGAGATGGCCAAGAGGCAACTGGCTATATGGATCTGAGGTTCAGGAGAGAGGTCTGGGCTTTTGATATGAATTTATGACTCATCAGTGTAATCACGGCCATTGGGAACTCTACTGGAGAGAATATACAGAGAAGAGAAGATGGAATAAGACAGAGACCCAAGGAGCACCAACATTCAGAGAAATGACAGAGGAAAAGCCTGCAAAGGAGAGTAACAAATAGTTAGAGGTCACGGAAAGAGTTGGTGCATTAAAACATTTGTACCCATTATTTGGGTTCTGTTACTGGAAACATGTTTAATCACAATTAAATGTGACTTGAAATTTATCTCTTTAAAATTTATTTTAAAATTTGGTTTATATTTAAAAAAGGAACAGTAATTCATCACTTACATTGTAGGGTTATGAGGTTCAAATAAAAAAAGTATTGAAAAATATCTTGGAACGTGTTATACCAGTGGTTCTCAAACTTTAGTATGTATCAAAATCATTTGGAGGGCTTGTTAAAACACAGATTGCTGTGTTTTTTTATTTCAGTAGTGGTAGTAGCAGTTTCTGATTCAGATCTGCGGAAGGAAACCAGAATTGAAAGGTTGTATAAGTTCTCAGGTGATGCTGATGCTATTGGTATGGGACCATCCTTTGAGAACCGCTGTGTGATACAAATGAATTATGGTTTTGACTTCACAGCAAAATTCATTGCGTTTTCCTCCAATGTTAGTCTGTTTCCTCCTCTAATGTTGTTATTTCTTTACCTTGCTTCATACCTAGCGATATCTGTTCCCACATGTGAAAGACCAGCTTAGTGAAGTATTTTGTTGATTGTTTACAACAGTAAGCAATGACTTCAGGTTAGCTTGATTAAGAAGACTAGGAAAAATATATGGTATTTTTTATGGGGAGATAAGCAGGAACTCTTTGGAATAAGAGGTGGGATTTCTGTTTTCCCCAAAGTAAATTAGATGTCAAATGCTACTTGTTACCAACATTCCAAAATCCCATTAGAGATTTTGTAATTTGATCCAGAGGGAACAGCATGAAGAGAGTCAGGTAAGAGGAAAAACTGACTTCATTCTTCATTCCTTTCCTAAATCCTGAGAAATGTGTATACCTCAACACTCCCTTTTCCAATCCCGCAAAACAGGGAGTCAGGAAAACACATTAGCACCCTAGTATAGACTAGGAATACAGAGCTGGGAGGAGACTCAGTCCCGTCAAGACAAGGAAACTGGGGGAGGGGAGAGAAAACTTCACCTCGTTGGAGAAAATGCGGCGCGGCCGTGGGAAGAGAGGGGGAAGTGGGGAAAGGTACCTCAGACGTGGGCCAGACACTTTGCCTCTGGGCATGCGGGAAAGTGAGGCAGGAGGGAAAACGCGGCACCAGAGCGAGATAGCAAGAGCTCCTGCGGCGGCTTTTGAGTGACGATCAGGAGACAGAGAACGTTCTGCTTCACTTCTTCCTCTCGGAGGCCATGTCTCCGTTTTTAAGTAATATAAAGAGGGGGCGCTGGGCTGAGTCAGTATCAGCCAAAGTTGCCGCCTCCTGAGCAGCAGACCCCGCTTCGGCCCCCGGCCCAGGCGAGAGAGGTGGTCTTCGGGGACGCTGAAGTTACTCCGCGCAACGCAGGGGGCGGGGTCGCCAGGCTCCTCTCCAATCACGGCGGCCGCTCCCGCGATTTGCATGTATTATGCTAATCACAGACCTCCTGCTCCGCTCCCACCCAAGCCTCCCGCCCCCTGGGGGGTCCCCCGGGCCGGCCTGCGGGCTGGGCCAAGGTGAATACATTATGATAATAAGGCGGGCTCGGGCTTCGGCTAGGGGAGAGGGGCGCGCAGCAGCGGGAGCGGCGGGCCGGACGCCGGGCGCCGGGAGAGGGTCGGGGGAGGGACGTCGTGCTCGGAGCGCGCGCGCACTCACACACTCACTCACACGAGCATCCCGGAGGGTATTTAAGGATCGCGCACGCGGGGCTGCGGAGATCCTTCGGGCAGCCGCGACTTCGGCCTCGCGACTAGCATCTGCTCCTTGGGTTCATTTCGTTTTTCCTCTGTCTTCTCCGGCTTAGCCGCCCCTTTCGTGCTGCGCTCTAGCGTGCTCTCGCAAGCCTTTTTGCCTTGCATTGGATGCAGGTGGGAAACAGGTCGGCGTGCCGAAAGACGCCGAGTAGGTAGAAATAAGGCATACTCGTAGAGGCGCAACAGGTCCGGTCCTCCGTGGCCAGGGCGAGCCGCGGCCCCGCGCCGCGCCTCGGCCGCTGTCCCTCGGACCCTGAGCAGCCACCGTCGGGGACCGCGGAAGAGGTGTCGCTCCTCTGGGAGTCGGAAGAGCTGCCTGGGAGGGTTTCGTCTTGCTGTTTACCCTACCGCCACCCAGTCCCCGGACTGAGGGCGCTTTTCACCTCCAGCTGGGAGGAAAGAAGAAAGCGGGGTTGGACGCTGAGCAAGGCAAGGGTCCATCTCCGCTCGCGGGTTCGACTCCACCAACTAGTTGTGCAGCCACAGGGACTGAACTTTGGAGGAATCGACCTTTGTCTTTCCTTTTAGAATTATTTGAGGTGTAGAGGGTGGGAGGCGAAGCCGAGGCGGCCGACCCTGCCAAGATGCTGGTGAAGAAGCACGCAGGGAAAGGAGGGGGCCGGGATCCGGGATCCGAGGACCCGAGCCCTGCCAGGCTGCAATGTGCCCGGACCATGCCCCCGTGCGCCGTCCTGGCGGCCCTCCTGTCAGCGGTGGCCGTGGTGTCTTGTCTGTACCTGGGTGTGAAAACCAACGACCTCCAGGCGAGGATCGCCGCTCTCGAATCCGCCAAAGGGACCCCTTCCATTCATCTGCTGCCTGATACTCTGGATCAGCTAAAGGCTATGGTGCAAGAGAAAGTGGAGCGACTTCTGGCTCAGGTGTGAGAGGCTGGGATATTTTGCACGTGGGTAACATCTTACACAAGCGTGACTCTGTGTGCATGACTGGCTGCTACCCTTACTGTACGCACACTTGGTGTGACTGTGTGTGTGTGTGCGCGCGCGCGTGCATGTCTTTGGGCAAGGATCTATGCTCACTGTAGCATATATTTGTATATGCACCTCCCTTGATATCTCCATGCCTATCTCTGTAATATTCCCTCATTCTCTCTTAATGTTTGCATGTTATACATGTAGGAAGGTCTAAAAGGTGAGAAGGGCATTTCATCTCTTTTTAGTTTTCTGAAGTCATGTGTGAGTCTTTCCCAATTGTGGAGAGAATATTTCTTGCAGAGGTAGCATCTGTTATATCTTTTACATGTTGTAAGATGGTTAGGGACATAGATGTTATTAATATACAAAAAAAGGTAATCACTCTTAAAAGTGAAATAGGCTCATATGATTTAAAATCAATAATTTCACACGTAGAATCTTTTTGTATTAAAAGTTTAAACTTTTTTTTTTTTTTTTTAATTAGCTTTATTTTTGGTGAAGGATGCTGTGCCGGGATATTTATGAATGCAGAGCCCTTGGCGTTGAGAGTTGAAAGGAATCTACGTCATGTTTAAGGGCACCTTTAGACTAGAGTAAGGGGGGTTTCTGGAACTGTACTCTAGCGGGGAGCCTATTTGGCAGTAGTTGCAGCCTAGCATGATAAAGCAGTTGATCTTCATGTGTAAAATAATGTCTGTTATTGGTAAGCCACAGCTTACCTAGTACTGCAACATTTTAGTGCTAGGTTTTTACATTGACTGCATATGCTTGAGCTGAGGGAGAGGGTGGTAGGGAAGAATGGAGAAAGATGTTATACAAGTCCAGCAATCTTGATACCCTATCAGTGGTCATTTTCTTTTTTTAGGGCTTAGGCATGATTACTTTTTGACTAGAGTCCAAGTACATATGTAAATGCTAGTTATGCAGGTTATGAAATGCCGGTAAATCAGGCATACGGCCAGAGTCCCTCAAGAATCCATCTCTCTACAGTGCTACTGATGATTGTTAATAACTCTTCTTTTCCTACAGAAATCCTATGAACATATGGCTAAAATAAGAATCGCAAGAGAAGCACCTTCAGAATGTAACTGCCCAGCAGGTAAAATGGAACTTATTTAACAAGGTTTCCTCCAGAGCAGAGCATTTTGAAACAAAGGTCCTGTGTCTGTCAAGTCTACCTGTAACAATAGTAAAGAAAGAATGCAGACTCAACTTACTTTAATAAAATCAACATGTCTCAGTCAAAAGGATGGCAAATAAAGCCCCATATATTATTTTAAGCAGCATACCAAGGGGCTGTTATGGTAAAGCAAAGAGAGAGGTAATCACCAAAGAAAATATAGGCAAGGTGATGTACAAAGCCAAACTTCTTAGATTCACAGATTTGGAAATATCTTAAATTAAATCGTTTTAATGTCTTTGGTAAAAAGGACTGTAGAACTGTTAGGTTCTGAATTCCTGGGTGGCTCATACTGCATTAGTGCAGGGTTTTTTCTTTTGGTTTATTCCCTTTGGCATATAATTATGTTAGTAAACCATCTTCACTTCCCTCCCTGCTGTTTCTATTCCATTAAAAAGGTTCCATCTCCTATCCTATAGCTAGAGATGATGGCTGAAAGAAAATAATAAGTTCTTTATCTTGAGCTTCCCATTACACACTCTTGCATTTTCAGTGACTTTGAAGAAGAGGCGCTTATATTTTTACCTTTTTTTGTGTGTGTGTAGCTTGAGGGAGCCATATCAAAGGCAGCATATTAGTAAGAGGATAGAGAAGGACATCATAAAGAAGAACCCCTGGGTGATCATTAAATCTGCCTTCAGGGACCTTTGAGGGCTTGGTAGTCATCTGAGACCTAACAATTCAGAAGCCCCTGGAATATGGCCATTGGAAATACCTACTGCATTCAACTCAGAGATCATGAAAAGCTTCCGTGAACTGAGATGTTTATTTCAGATAAACAGTGTTAATACATTTATGAATATGGTAGTTTCTTTTATTGTCACTCATGGAAAGTGAGTCCCTTTTTGTTTTGTTTTGTTTTTGTTTTTGTTTTTGAGATGGAGTTTCGCTCTTGTTACCCAGGCTGGAGTGCAATGGCGCCATCTCGGCTCACCGCAACCTCCGCCTCCTGGGTTCAAGCAATTCTCCTGCCTCAGCCTCCTGAGTAGCTGGGATTACAGGCATGTGCCACCATGCCCAGCTAATTTTTTGTATTTTTAGTAGAGACAGGGTTTCACCATGTTGACCAGGATGGTCTCGATCTCTTGACCTCGTGATCTACCCGCCTTGGCCTCCCAAAGTGCTGGGATTACAGGCTTGAGCCACCGCGCCCGGCCGAAAGTGAGTCTCTTAAAATTTCTTTGATATTAAGGAACATGATACTTAGGTGCTTATATATGAAAAGGCAAATTCTTGTATTTTTTTCATATTGTGAAACATTTTCCCTCTCATGATAACTTGTTTTGGCACAGCTAAACAAGGCACCACATTTAGAAATTTTAAATGTTAACTCCAGGTTGTACATTGTACACATTTTACTATTTATTTTCTGTTAAATTTTTGAACATAATAGAGCTATATTTTTTAAATGAAGCTTTTTTGATGGAGAAGACATATACGTTAGGTACCAGAAAAATGAAGAGTTAACCTTTGACAGTGTAGGTCTCATTCTTAGTCGTTTTAAGTTGGAAAATAATCTCAGAAGTCAGATATTCAAGGAAGGCACTTTTGTAGTATGGGAATTAACTCACAACCACCTCATCAGCCTGTAGGGATTATTTAAATTCTCAGGACAGTTGGTACAGGACTTCACTGATCATACCACTTAGAGTCCAGCATTTTTTTCTGTATACAATATTCTTACTAGCTGTGTGAAAAAATAGCTAGTGTTTAATTAATAGAATTCTTAATGAACTTAGTAAAAAATAAAAAAGGGACAACCACAGCATTGAGGTCTGTTTTTTGAGAAGATATAATTGTTTCATGATGTCTAATACAGGCCAGCTACTGAAGTTTAACTTGTAATCTAGAAGAAATCTATTACATTTAAGATTTACTGTATATTATCTTAGATTATTTTGGACTGTTTTTCATCTTAGCACGTTAATGTAAGAATAAGTGGAGATTTCCTAGGCTTTTTTGTTGGCTCCCACTAATAGCTGCTTTACCTCTTGCCACCACTAGAGCTCCACATTACATCAGTTTTTACCTGGCAACTTTCGTGGTAAACATTAGAAGGTGTGCATTCTACTATGCAGAATCAAGCAGGTTTCTGCTGACAAACTGCTATTATGGAAACACTCCCTTTTTCTTGAGGAATAATCAGATATCATCAAAATGAAGACATTTTGTTGAAAATAGTATCCCGGGAAAACTAGTTATTTTGAATTACGGTCAGTGAGGAATTTTCTTAGGGAATGAATGGGCTGACCAAGAGGATTAGAAAAGAAAATCAGTACTTCCCACCTGGTTTGGCTCTAACCCTGGTTTGCAGTGACTAAGAGTTGTCGCCTAGACATCTGTTTGTAGGGCAGAGTGAGACAAGTCTGTGACCTCAGCTCAGTTCCTGTGGACAGATGCCCACCCCTTGAAGTTGACACTCTTGTTGACAGTTTCAGTCACAGAGCCAAGGACTGATAGCAAAGAAGTAATGCGATGTTGTTTGTGTTCACTCTAATTGCTTTTGATAGAACTCAGTCCCAGTGAAGTTTATTCAAGTAGGTTCTGAGGTAATCATAGAATTTGTGTGTGTGTGTGTGTGTGTCTGTGTGTATGCACAAGGAACCTCTGTGGGAAAAGGATGAAAAAGGCTGTTTTTAAAAATATTTTCTAATGTCAGGAGATGTACTCTCTAATTTAATTTTCACAATGACCCTGAGTTAAGAATTAGTAAGAGAAGATTATTAACTTAACATAGTAAAGACAAGTTCAGGATTCATGCCCACATCTGATAGAACCAAAAGCCCAAAGTCTACCAAGGGATAGAGAGTAAGTATAGGATTTAGACCTGGATAATTCTGTACTGGAATCCTGGATCTGCTACTAATTAGCTGTGTGACATTGGTAAAACTAATGAACTTCTCTATGTTCTGATTTCCTCATCTGCCCCCACCCTGCAAAAAATAAATAAATAAATAAATAAATAAAGACTAATAATACCTTCTTTAGGGTAATAATTTACCTAAATAGTCTGGCATATTAGTGGCTATCCATTAGACAATAGCAATTACTATTCTTTGTAGTATATTATATGCTACTTAGCTCTACTGTGGTTTACAGAGACACATGAAATAGGTGAGAAAACTGAGACTTGGAGATCTTTTGTAATTTGCTAAAAACCCAATGGCTAATTAATGGCAGGTTTGGACTAGAACACTATGCTTAATTAAACAAATATATCTGGAGATTATGCAGATAATCATACCAGTCAGTTTTTCTTGATTGTATATAAATAAAATTGTTTTTTTTTTTTGGTATTTATGTAAGTCTCCTGAATTACTCTTACAAAAATTGCAGGGAAACCTTTTGACCTTTTAGGTAAACCATGATTGAAGTGGATAGGAGCTGGGCTTGAAAGACCATGGGGATATTAAAGAATGTCTTTACAGTTTTAATACCAGATGTTTACAAAATGAAGTATTTTACTATGTGACTGCTCTTCAGACTTATTTTTTTTAACAGCTTTATTGTGTAAAATTTATAATATTTACCAATTTTAAGATTTTTAAAACAAATTTATAGAGTTGTGCAGCCATCACCACAATCCAGTTTTAGATCATCTTATCTCCCCTGGAGAAACTCACATTTACTTCTTTCATGCACTCAGAAAAGCTCTATTTTAAAAAGTATTTGGTTTAAAGAAACCCAATATATATATATTTATATATATATATATATATATATATATATATATATATATATATTTATTTTTTTTTTTATGAGACAGAGTTTTGCTCTGTTGCCAGGTGGCAGGCTGGAGTGCAGTGGCGCAATCTCGGCTCACTGCAACCTCTGCCTCCTTGGTTCAAACAATTCTGCCTCAGCCTCCTGAGTAGCTGGGACTAAAGGCATGTGCCACCACACCCAGCTAATTTTTGTATTTCAGTAGAGATGGGGTTTCACCATGTTGGCCAGGATGGTCTCGATCTCTTGACCTCGTGATCTGCCCGCCTCGACCTCCCAAAGTGCTGGGATTACAGGCGTGAGCCACTGTGCCCAGCCCAAAACAATAATTTTTAAAATAATTTTAAAATTTTCATACAAATTGAAGCTGTGTTTAGCAGAATCTTTGATTTAGCAGTAGGTGACCCATAGAAATTCAGTTGGCATCTGTGGCTTGACCTCTGTGCATCAACTCTAATTGGAAAGAATAAGTTGGCTCTTTGCTATGGCTGTAGAATTTAGTTTTGGGTTCTGTTCTTGGAGTTCTACATAAAGTATGCATAAACCAGGCACATTTATGAGAAGGTTTTTGTTTTTCAACTGATAAAGAGCTTTGGGAGCTAGGCAGCCAACCAGAAGATGTGTAGATCACAAAGTTTTCCATATCTTACTCATCAGTAGTGTTGCGCGTACATGGTGTAAGAACCTCTGTGGTGTTATGGATGGAGAATGTGGATGCGGAATATAGAATCCAGAATTCTAATCCTGGCTTTGTCATTAACTTGTTATGCAATTTTGGGAAGTCATTTCCAAGAACAACTCTTATAGTTTCTATTTTCATATCTCCAAAATAGAAGTGCTGAACAAGAATGATTTTGAAGGGCATTTGTCAGTTCTTCAGGTTAAATGAAGAGGCTGCTGTATGCCAAATACTGTACTAGTCATTGGGAAAATGTTGATGTATGAGGCAGACTTGGTATCTTCCCTCGTGAAGCTTACATTTGGAATGGATGACAGATAATTCTTTAAAAATGGCATAAAGGTACAGATGTGACAAGTGCAACCAAGAAAAAATATAGTGTGCTTTGGGACAGATGACCAAAATCTCTTCCATTTTTGTAAACCCAAAGATTTTTTTTTTCTCTGGATAAAATAAAGAAAAAAGTATGATTCTCTTTTAGAAGTTCACAATAGGAGAAAATCTGGTTTCTGCTGAA